AGTGGATAGGGATAAGACCCTATCCTATATGTTGATTTAATCCCAGATCCACCTCCTTATTTAACTAATCAAATTAGGCCAGTTCAAAATGCGCTTTAGGCCCAATAAGTCTAAGTGCTCAGAATGCTTCCAAACTACTGCCTAGTTGGGCTTCTTTGTATGGCGTGGGACCCAAACATTGATCTACACATTAGCCACATAGGTTCAGCCCAACCTCTGTTACAAGGCCTGGCCAAATTCACGGAAAAGACAGTGAACCCCTTGAAGCCCATCACATGGACTCCTAATGGGCCCAACACTTACACTAAGTGGTCCCTGGGCCAAACCACCTTATAAAAACCGAGGGACTGTGGGCAGATACAAGATTAGCCCATCAGGTTTAACCCACAATGGCCTTACACTTAACCTCTCAGCCCATAATGATCAAACACTGCCCGACAAGAGAGGAAATGAACAGTGCTGCACTCTCCACTCACATGGATCCCGGGAATTAAAACCTTTTTGCAAACGTTTAGAAACCACAATTTATATATGTATATCTTTATATAAATATATTTTGCAAAAACAAATTTCAATGATTGAAATCAACTTACGGCAGTTTTGGTTTCCATCAGAGAGAGTGCATCCCCGATCATTACCTTTGTCCGACAAAGGGGCTGATCTTGTCACTATGATCACCCACTCAGATGAATTCTCAGATTGTCCCAACGTACCCATGTTTTGACTCTCTCTAAGGATCTCACTAATTGGCACATCAAAGATAGCCCAATCCGACACCTAGTGTAGTATCATAATCGAGTCTAGGGGTCAGGTGTAACATTCCAATTTTGCCCACTTATCACCAAGGTCCAGGGCAACACTGGAATTCTAGTCCGGTTCAAGGTTTCAAGTTAAACCTACACTACATGTACCTCGGGTCTCACCCTGGCGGCTAAGACAAGCCACCGCAACCAACTTGGCGGCACATCAGTGTCAGCCTTATCAAGATAGATCTCCCCAGATCGACCCACTGGTTGTGAATATTCTAAACTAACACGAGTCTCATTATGTGTCCAGTTTATGGGTATTACACAGAAACACACCACTATAACATGAATCAAATATGTACTTTATTCATTTACAATAAATGTCATAATGTACATCATTCTGATTGGAGCTAAGGGAATACACTGTCTAACAATTCCCACTTGCGCTTAGGTCCAATCTGGTATAAGTCGGAGTCCCAGACTTTCCACGTGTTTCTCAAACACTTTCTATGTGAGTGGCTTAGTCAATGGGTCTGCTACATTCTCCGCTGACGCTACCTTTTGAATCAGGACGTCCCCTCTATCAACAATCTCCCGCAATACGTGGTACTTCCTCTCGATGTGCTTCAACTTCGAGTGGGCTCGTGGCTCGTTAGCCTGAGCAATAGCTCCATTGTTGTCACACAACAACGGGATGGGTGATGTGCTGGACGGAACTACTCCCAATTCATGAATGAACTTTTTCATCCACACGGCTTCCTTGGCAGCTTCACTTGCGGCAATGTATGCGGCTTCGGTTGTGGAATCTACCGTGGACCCCTGTTTGCTGCTTTTACAGCAAACAACACACGATCCTATCACGAAAACATTCCCAGATGTAGACTTTCTATCATCTGGATCCAACTGGAAATCGGCATCAGTATATCCCTGAATCTGTAGTAAGCTACCATTGAATACCAGACAAAACTCTTTTGTCCTTCGAAGGTACTTTAGTATATTTTTCACAGCGGTTCAATGCTCCTGCCCTGGGTTGGCCTGGAATCTACTTACCACTCACTGCTTGAGCAATGTCAGGACGAGTGCACAACATGGCATACATGATGCTCCCTACGGCTGAGGCATAGGGAACGTCCTTCATGCCCTCAATCTCCTCAGAATTCTTGGGAGACA